ACTTGTTGTACCAAGTGTTATACAACATAAATCTATATTAACTATTTAATAAGCAAAGTATTAAGAGTGAACAAGATAATACATACAAAACATGTTAGTATCAAATATTAAAGTCCATATTAAGTTTACACTATACTTATTCTTACACCATTAGTGTTACCTTTTCAACTTGACATAATAAACTTAGCTAAACATAATGAAAGAGAGAAACATAAATAAACAAGATAAGAACATAAATAAAATAAAAATTAACTAAGTAAATAAAGAAAATGAAAGACATAAACAAGATATTAATAAAAGCAAAACTTAAGCATTACAAAAATAGAAAGAGAGAAATTAAGAGCATGATCTTGATTTGAAAACCAAGATGCCTAAATGCATGGCAAATGCCTTCTTTTATAGGCTAAAATTTGGAACTATTGATTTGATGACTAATTGTTGAGTAGGTGACTACATCTTGACTTGGTGACAATCCTTATCTTCTTGTCTGAATAAAACGTCATTGATAACGTCATAATTTGAACCAACCTTACTCATGAAAGTTCTAGAAAATTATCTCAGCTTTCTAGGAAAAAAAATTGAGATCTTTAGGACTTCTAGAACTCGAGATATTGGTTGAATACTAAATAGTGTCTAGGCTGACGGAAAAATTTAGATTTCTACATTGTTGCTAAGATTTAGACTTCCAAATAGTAGAATTAAATCTTGCCTTCTGTATGAAAGTTTTAGGCCTACGTCTTAACTTTTCATCCATATAAAGTGACATGAGCAAAATATTGATGTCTTCTCCCAAGTGTAGAAGTATCGAAGTAATAAATAACTCTGCAAGACCAGGGTCGAACCATAAAGAGGTTAATTGTATAAATTATAAATAATAGCAATAATAATAATAATAATAATAATAATAGAAGAAGAAGAAGAAGAAGAAGAAGAAGATGAAGATAATGATGATGATGATGAGAACATTGAGATGGAAGATCAATGTAAAGATTAAAAAATGATAACTACAAATATCAGTGTTAGAGGATCTACTAATGGTATTTCAAACAAGTATAATATAAACTCTTATTATTCAATGTTTTAGGCTTATGTCTTAGCTTTCTAGCTATATAAATCAAATTGAAATCCAAGATCTACAATTCTAGATATGACACAATAACTGAACAGTGTTTCAGTTTAGATTGAACTAATATTTTTTTTATAAGCTTAGCCCATTATTTGTCTTTCAATTTCAGTACTAAAATGCATTAATTAATTATTTCATTTATGTGATAGGCATGCATTTAAGATGAACATTTACCATAAATTAAAGGTATCTTATATTTGTTAGACATGTTATTATATAACATGCTCTAGTTAAAGAGTTATTGATACTTTAAGTGCAAAATAATGATATAAAATCTTGATAAAAATACACTTTTAAGTACTTGATAGATATATAGATGATGTGTCATCTATTGTCTTTATTTTTGTTTGATTAAAAAAGGATTGACGATAGGTTGTTTCCTCCTTTTACAAAAAAGAAAAAAAAACCCTAAAAAAATCATACACGTTGGCCTATCTTTGTAGGCCCATGCTTGGCCTTTTTCCCTTTAGGCTAGATGCACTAGACCACATAGGCATAGTCGACCCATTATGCATAGGTTTCTTCCCTTAAAAAAATTTAATTTCAATCAAATAAATGACTAAAAATATATTAAAAATATAATTTTATTAAATAATATTCAATTTATACTTATTTTTTATGAGATCATAGTGTTTTTCAATAAAATTATTAAACACTATATAGAAATTGCTAAACTTTAGGGTAAATATTCATATTTTTATATATTTAAATGATAACTATAAAATAAAGAAAATGAACTAATAATATGTCTTGTTGAGAATAAATTTTAAATATGTTTATTAAAAGAATGTATCAACAAGTATAATGGATTTTGTGAAGAAATTAATCCATCAAGTAGTCCAAAAAGGAAGCAAAGTGAAGACTTAGATTAAGTATTCATTTCAAGTTCTCAATGTAAATCTTTATATCCTACTTGATAGAACAATTAAAATGAACACACACACTTCATTCTTATACATTAAATGATTGATATATCATATGATAAAATCTAATATAGATGGTTTTAAGAAATTATCTAGGTTAAAATTGAAATTATGCACAAACCAGTCAACCATTTGATATGATCAACTGAAACGATTAACCTCACATTCATCCGTGATGAACACCTAGAAATTCTATAAAAACCAGTTAATTGATTGGCTTGATCAATCTAAATCTGTCAACTATTTGAGTTGTCAATTAGATTATAATGGCTATAAATGATTAATTTTTTTTAGAAATATATGCATAGCTTATATAATTGAAAAATAGAGAGGGATTATCTACATATATGATACACAAGCTATTCTAAAACTAAATACACTTTAAAATAATCAATTTTTTATTATACTTTAATCGGTGATAATAAACTTTCACAATCTAGCACAAAAATATTTAATCTTATTCTCACTACCCTTAAACACCTTCAAATCCTATAAATGTTATCTTATAAAATATAGAGATATTAGATGTTTTAATTTTATTATCCATCTAACAAGAGAGTTAGTTGTGACTTACTCCTATAAACCTTTGAGAATTAGCTAGAAACTCTTAGGATTGGTGAAGTAATTTCAAGAAGGAATACTATTAAAAGGGTATATCTTTAAATAAGAAAAATCTTGAAGATGACATATCTTCAAGTGAGAAAAATCATGGTTGGATTTATTAGGTTGTGAAAAATCTTAAAGAGAAAATATTTTCAAATAATAAAAATTTTTGGCGTAGATTTATCATGTGGTGTAAAAATCTTGATGTTAATTTATCATGTGACTATTGTACTCTTGAATTTGGACTAGTGAAGGAATACAAGTTTAGTACTTGGAGTGTAGATGTAGGCTTATTGAACCACATTAAAAATGAGTTTGTAAAATCTCTTATCTTATCTCTTTACTTTAAACGTTTTAATTATATTATTGATTATTATATTTATTAGAAATAATTTGTAATATTTGTCAATATTAATGATATATCTAATTCACCTCTCTCTTAAGTGTTATAATTGTTTTAATCCTTGATCAACATAAATAAATAACTTAAATGTATTATTTTAAGAACAAGAATAAAATTATGCTTTTTTAAAACAAATTATCGAGCATTTTTTACAACCCTTCTTGATTTTTATTTATCATTTTTTTTAAATTTTATTTTTGGCCTTTTTATAATACGTTTTATTATTGTTATTGTGTGATTACATAAAAAATAATAAAAAAGTCCCAATATATTATTTTTATATTTTTTGATACATTTACGGCATAATAATAAAACCATTAAAGTTTTTTTTATTAAATTTTGCTTCTATGACTCTCATAATCTTTTACTTCAAAAAAAAAAAAACACGACTACCATAAATAAATTGTAAAAAAAATTAAATTAATACATTGAGGAAGTTTTAATTAAAAAGATGTCTTTTTATCATTATTTTAAATCTTTTTAGAGTTTATTAGATATTTATTCTAACCACCTATGTTTTTATTAAATTAAGTGCATTGCTAAACATATATATATATTTTTGTTCATAAAAACAAATAAAGAAGAGAAAGAAGAATTATAATAAAAAATTATTTTATTTTGATAAAATTCAAATTATTAATTTTCTTATGAAACAAATATTGACATATACTAAAATAAAAAAAACGAATAGTTTCTAGCGACATTAAATTATATATTATAATCTATATCTATTTTTCTTTATCAATTTAGTTTTTAATTTGTATAAATATTTTATTATAACATTTATTTATTAATGTAATTCAGGGCGTGTTATAAATGCATCAATTTTTATGTTCATATTAAAAACAAAATTAACATAAAAAATAAATTAATAATATTTATAATTTTTTATATTAAAATATAATTTTTGATGTGAACTGAATCATATAAAGTTGACTAGTCTTTTAGTTTTAAGAGTAGCTTAATAAAGGTATTCTTTCGTACCCTAAATGGGCTCAAATCTGACAACAAAACTGAAATTTCACCAGCTAGTTGAGGCCATACGGGGCTAGGCATTTGTTCACAAAATTGCTTTTATTCATTTAAGGGTAAGGGATACTTTCTGACCATGTGTAAGAGATTTTTTAATTTATTATATTATTGATCAATAATTTATATATTTATCTGGTCAGAACTTACTTAAAATGAATGGAATCTTGAACAAAATTATAAAAAATTTTTTAATAATATTTAAGATTTTTTTAATTTTTATGTATATATATGAGAAGTAGGATCTTAGATAATTATTATTTTGTACTTTTGAGTTTTTTTTTTTGAGCGGAGATAATTTTTATTTTTAAAAATATATATTAGTTATTGTTGAGATTTTTTGCGTTGAAGCATTCTTGAAGTGACCCTTGGACTCTGCAAGGCTATGGATCCGGTGACTTGGGTATTCTTGGAATTATGGTCACATATACTGGACACCAGAATTGCTGCGTCAGGTCTCGTAATATTTATGGTCACATTTACTGAACAACAGAATTGCGGCCAAGGAAAGCTTCCAAGTCGACTGGAGGAGGTTAATTACTGTAGCTGAGAGAGTGGAGAGAGCTGAAGGCAGCCACCGGAGGAAGAGTGGAAAGCAACCATAGGGGACCGCAGCAACGAGCTTTAAATTTGTAACAGGAATAATTGAAATATACAGACAACGTTCACAAATGCTACTGTTTTTTAACTTGTTAAAAGAGGGAAAGGGAGAGGAGAAGGGGACCCTTGAAAATCAATCCTGTCAATGGTCCACTAGGAATCCCTCCGTTAGACAGGCAACCAATAAGAATTCGTTAAAGAGGATGGGCATGAAAATGTTAGCCAATCAACACTGAGATAAGACTACCTTATGGGTCCCGAAAAGGACGATCAAACAAAGCCTTGTATATTCCACATAACAAACCACCAATAGTGCACGGGGCTAGCTAGCTTTTGCCAAAGAATAAAAGCTCCACTGCTCTCTCCACTCAATAATTGTATATCAATTGGCCCCAAGATAAATACTTCAAGGGACACCCTAATACTCTTCGCAATAGTCATTTTGCATTCTTGTTTTATGCTCAGCTAGCTCCTCTTCGCTTAGGCCAAGCACAGTTAATACTTCATTTGTCTCACAACCAAATCTTTGGCATGATCAGTGGAAGGAAAGCGGCAAACGCCATGGGAGGCAAGACGGCAAGAGCTTGCGATAGCTGTTTACGCAAGAGGGCACGCTGGTTTTGTGTAGCAGATGATGCTTTCCTGTGCCAAGCCTGTGATGCATCGGTCCACTCAGCGAATCAGTTAGCTAGTAGACACCAAAGAGTCAGGCTTGAGACCGCATCATCATATAGGATCAGTAGTTCATTAAACACTGATCAGGATTATTCTCCACCAGCATGGCATCAAGGGTTCACAAGAAAGGCAAGAACCCCAAGGCATAACAGCAACAGCAACAAGTCTTTATTGGTGCAAAAACTGCTCAAAGATGATCGAGAGAAAGTCTTGAACCCTCTTCCGCTTGTTCCAGAAATTGGAAGTGAAGAAGAGCCAAATATGGCTGCTGATGAGAATGAAGATCAGTTGCTTTGTAGAGTTCCTGTGTTCGATCCGTTTGCAGCAAAAATGTGTGATATAGTAACAAGTGAAGATGGAAATATGGCTGTTGAAGTTTACGGACAGGAAGGAGCATGTGGCTTGGATAACCTACCAGGGTTTTTGCCTTCAGACATGGATCTTGCTGAGTTTGCTGCAGATGTTGAGAACTTACTGGGACGGGAAACTGATGAGGAATATCATGATACTAAGGATTTAGAGCTGTTAGATTGTAGTAAAGGGGAAGATGAAGGGCAGTTTTGTTTCGCGGACAAAGTAGTGAAAATGAAGGATGAACAAGAAATGGAAACAATCATAGATTGCCATTTTGATCAAGATTTTAATATGGCAAGAGAGTCATTGTTGGGTTGGAATTTCGATTACGAGACACTGGTGGACGGAGATGAAGAGGTGGAAGAGAGAAAGGTGCCAGTGCCTGAGACAGAAATGATGACTAGTACTGAATACAAGGAGATGAAGAGGAACGTATCTTTAAGGCTCGATTACGAGTCAGTCATCATCGCATGGGCTAACCAAGGCTGTCCATGGACTACAGGAAGCCGACCAGAGCTCAACGCTGATGATTCTTGGACTGATTCCATGGTATATATATACTTCCCTCATTTTCGTTTCAGGTTTTTTAAACATAAAATTTATCGGCGGCAGAGAAAATATATGGAAGAGAAAATCAAGGAAAAAAATCGGAAAAATATTTGGTTGTCCCATAGTATGCTAATCATATTCTCTTGTACACCTTTTGATTATAGGTTGAATTTTTCAAATAAGATGGTACAGCTCCATACATGACCTAGCTAGCAAGTTCTAACCTACCTTCAGGATTAAAAAAAAAAAAAATCCTCGAATTTGCAGTGCACTTTGCAATTAACCTGTCATATATGATCAATTAATCTTGCGTAGTAATTTACTTTTAGAATTTATTAGCAGTAAGTTTTGGTGGATATGTGATTTTTTTTTCTTTTCTATATGATATTATAGGGTACGAGCCCTAAAGATGTTAATAATCCATACGGAGGACTGGGGAGCCATACAAGAGGTGGAGATGGGGAAAGAGAAGCGAGGGTCATGAGATATAAAGAGAAGCGAAGAACACGATTGTTTTCGAAAAAGATAAGGTACGAAGTAAGGAAATTGAATGCAGAGAAAAGGCCTAGAATGAAAGGCAGGTTCGTCAAGAGGACATCCCTCATGGGGACTACTGATTTTCCTTGACGAAACACAGTTTTAACTGCCAGCATCGATCAGCGAAAGCTTGAATGAGTTATTAGGCTCATTAGTATCAAATTTAATCTTACTAACAAATGGAACTAAGTTTAGGTAGATGTCACTGTGACCTCTCAGTCTCTGACATGTTACTGTTTGGAAGTTCAAAGTGGGAGTTACATGGACATGCTATGAAGAAGTCAACCTTCACAAGATGAACTATTTAACAATTTTCTTGACTTAGAAAACTTCTGTTTGTTCATCAATATATGTTGTGCTTAGGAAATTTTGGAGATTAATGCAATCTCCCTATTAAGGAAAATAGGTTGACAACATTGTAAATATACTAGGTGTCTACTATGCATTGAAGAAATGCTTGTTCTTCAATTGCGAGCTTTAGCTGGAATGTATTTCTTCTACACAGCAGCTCATTAATGCTTTTCCTTTCAAGCTATAAAGTTATCGCTACCATCTATTTTCTTTTTGGGATTTGTTATTTACGTCAACAAAAGCTAAGAACATTTTTTACCTTGACAATTAAATTATATGTATTATGCTAATATAAAATTCCATCGTGTTCGCATATGATATTAAGGCGAACTATTAGGTAAAAAGGGATAAAATGAGAAAAATTAGTTGCTATCTAATTTTATCTAATTTTATGATAATTAAAAATTTTAATAGATCTTTTAGAGACTCTACATAAAATTTGATTATGTAATAGAAAAAATAACAATTATTTCATATATCCTACTCAAGGTAAATTATTTCATGTCTGTTTTTTATGATAGAGATGCCTAATGTATTTACACATTAAAGGTTTGCCTAAATTGATATATGTATTGTTGTTATTCATTTTTTACCCTATAAAAAATAAAAATAAAAATAAAAACCCAAAATAAAAGGAAATACATATGAAGAAAGCCTAGAAAATCGTCCAAGTTGGTGGTAAAGGATCAAAATGATAGGTGAAAAAAGTTAGAGGACCAGAATGCACAAAATTGGTGACCAAATTCTGATAGACAAAAGACTTATTCGATGAATTGTTTTTATTTAAGGGTAAAAAAATACAAATTTGGATGAGAAAAGACTCAATGAGGATTTTAGAAAGCTTAATTAATATTATTTGAGGATTTAATTGCAAGAAAAATCATTTTTTTGGAGTCAATTTGGGTATTAATTAGAAGAAATTGAAGTATGGGTACTGAAATTGGGCTTTGAAAAGTTTGATTGATCAATTAAGTGTTTAAATGAAGAAATTCAAAACCAATGATCAAATCATAAGATGTACGAGACTTCAAGGGTTGAAATTAACCAAGTTTGATGGTCAATTAAGGGTCCAAGTACACAAATAAAAAATCAAGGACCAAGATAAAATTGTTGCTAAACTTTGAGGCTAATGATTAAGTTTGAAAGTGATGAAATTGCATGAAATTAAGAGTTTGAGATGTAATTACATGTGCAATTAAAAGTAATTAGATGAATAGAGACTAAAATAAAATTTATCAGATCCAAAATTAAAAACCATAATTTCTAGGAGCTTAACATATACGACGCATCATTTACCCATTAGTCATCTATTTCATTGGCAATTTTGGATGATCGAGTTGGCAGATTCCAAGAGCTCATTTTGGAATTGTAGACCTCCAAATGACACGAGGTTTTTTGTAAATGGAAGAAGAGCATCCCCTATATAACCTTATTTCCATAAAATTAGATGTTTACATCCCAATTCTTTCATAAAGGTCTTCAACATCTTGTATTTTTAGTTTCTAGGCTGATGGAGTTGGTGGCACCTTTAAGTAAATGAATGTGGAGCTGCAAACCTTTAAATGGAGCAAGAATAGATCCAACTGAAAGGTATGCATCTCCTCTACCAAGTTTAGG